TAAATAAAGTGTCTTCAATCTGTACAGCGTGGTTGAAACTTGTATTTCCAAAATCAATAGCACCAAATGCCGTCAATTTATCGTCGGTTTTTTACTTGTCTTTCGTAGCCAAACTTGATTAACCCGGAAACTACCTGAACCACCCTTCACAGAATCTTACATTAGGAACGCAAAGAATGGTTACACAGTACCGAGCTCACTCCAAAACCTGGTGTCCACGTGCACGTGGACATAAGGCAAAAACGTGCACGTGATTTTCGTCATGTTTTATGTATTTAGTGCTAGGCCGACTAAACAAATGTGTCACAGAAGAGGAATGAATTTCCACGATTTACCTTGAATTTAGATTTACATTGAACTTAAATTTGTGGTTATTAATGGTCGAAATGGAGTTATATATGTCTCATTTTTTTTCAATTTCCGCCGTGTATCAGCCATTCAGGGCGAATAGCTTTCTCCAGGCGCAAAGTTAATTTCAAACTGGAAGAAGACAGCTAAGCGCCTTCCAGTGCCAGCAAACTGTGAACATACAAAGTCCTCAGTAAATGTNGTTTTATACCTGTCTTTCGTAGCCAAACTTGATTAACCCGCAAACTGCCTGAACCACCCTTCACAGAATCTTACATTGGGAACGCAAAGAATGGTTACACAGTACCGAGCTCACTCCAAAACCTGGTGTCCACGTGAACGTGGACACAAGGCAAAAACGTGCACGTGATTTTCGTCATGTTTTATGTATTTAGTGCTAGGCCGACTAAACAACTGTGTCACAGAAAAGGAATGAATTTCCACGATTTACCTTGAATTTGGATTTACATTGAACTTAAATTTGTGATTATTAATGGTCGAAATGGAGTTATGTATGTCTCATGTTTTTCAATTTCCGCCGTGTATCAGCTATTCAGGGCGAATAGCTTTCTCCAGGCGCAAAGTTAATTTCAAACTGGAAGAAGACAGCTAAGCGCCTTTCAGTGCCAGCAAACTCTGAACATGCAAAGTCCTCGGTAAATGTTACGAAGGGAATCACTTGTGTGGTTACGGCCTCACTCGCCCTCTCACCAACGCTACTAAATTTCTTGGGGTATATATTGACGAGCACCTTACCTGGAAAGATCATATCAGCTGTTTATGTAAACAAATCTCCAAATCAATTGGAATGTTATTCAGGTCTCAGTTCTATCTATCTTCTAAAACTAGACTCACCTTGTACTACTCGCTAATTTATCCTTATATCACCTATTGTA